ACCCAAACAAGTGCTGATCGTCGACGAAATAAAACCAAAAACCGAGTTTTGAAGCATTATTGTAGATGTAATGCAAACAAATTCTCGAAGAATTTTCTCGAGACCGAAGCTGAGACGAAACAACTCGGTTCTACAAATTTCTAATCGTAATGCACCTCGGACAATTTTAATTGAAATGATCATTGTAGATAGGGTGTGGTTGTGAGTAGAATAGAAATGTCGCTCTCGTTCTTATACCCCACGAACACTATACATCTACATATACGTAATCATGATCACAACTTTAGCATGATATATACTTCCGAGAGCAGCATAATATATCCGCATAGACACCATCTAATAAAGTTTAACGAATAGTGCAGACTTACTTCGAATAGAGACAAAAATATTATTTTTCTTTTTTTCCAGTATATTTTGTACGCAGACAAAGTTTTCTTATAAACGACTCAGTATGAAAGTGGTAATTTTTTTTAATTTCACAGCAGACAGTTAGGGCTAGATTCGTAGTATAGCCCGAGTTTGGAATTTCTCTTTTGTTGAAATAAAAACTGAAGTCTTTGATTTTAATTAACGATGTTTCTTTTGGCTACTCATTTGACGATTTTTCACAAAAATTTTTTTCTAAAATCTAAACGAAGGAAACTTAATAAATCGAACTCTATTACAACCTAGCACTAAGTGTATGCTACATTTCAAAAACTATTCCGACATATTAGCTCGTATCGTCATTTTGAAAACCTTAACCACGTAAAGCGTACTTTTGACCAATGCATTGACCATAATTCGTGAGTATCTCCGAGATTCGACAAAGATATTTTACCCATAATATATTCTAGCGAAGACTGATATTCTTTGAAATTTTGGTTGATATCGGATGAAATATAAAAAGGTTTATTGCTCAGGCGCGTCCTCCCTTAAATCGTTAACATTAATTCGTAAGTAAAGGTGTTATCGATACATGTCATTAACATTGATATGATGGTGTCATAGGTAGTTGCTTTTGAGATTATCTTTTTAGCTAATATATTTTATGCAGTTTGAAACTTCTTTGTGATTTCATGTTTTTCCTTTTCGCTAAAACTTTTCTTTTTTCTTTTCAGTTGTTTCAACTTGTCATTGTCATTATGTAAATATTTGACTTATTGAAATAATTTGTTAATTATTGATTACAACGAATATTGATGTATCTTTTAATGAAATAGTCATAGGTCTAAAAATGTTTTGAAAAAAATTCATAGGAACATATAGTTCTTTATTGAGCTGATTAGAAAAATATCAAAACTTGAACATAAATGATATCTTTTGTGGAACACAAGTATATTTTCGAATAGAATAATAGTGAGTCGAAGTTTAAATAGTTGAAATGCATGTCTCAATATTCTAAATAATGCAGTTCCTGATCTTTGTACAAACAAACAATCATATTTCAGGTATCAATGTTGATGTTTTGATTTGCCACAACTGCCATATGATGAGCACAAAAGCATGAACTGATTGTGTTCGAGCTTCCGTAAATAACTAATTGTAGTCTTTCTGAGTTGATCAAGGAACATAATAGATTGTTAAAATCTGTCAAAGATATAACGAATATATACAACACACTTATCTTGCTATTAAGTTAATCGTTACACTAATAATAATAAATAATGAAAATGAAATAAAAAAGAAGAACATAAATATCATGCAAATAGCAACAAGACAAATACAAAAAAAAAGCACCAGTCAAAAATATTTCTGTTCGAAATGTAGAAATAGACAGAGCGTTTACTGACAATAGATGACCATTGGAGAAGAACTATCGTCTTTTAGAGCTTTTACATTTTGAGTGTTTTGTATTATTATATTGAAATTAAATAAGACATGAGTTTTACACTTTCGAGTAAGATTTATGCTGATTGAATGTTGATTGATAAAACAAGACTTATTTTTTCTTATAAAATTCTTTTAACTTGTATGTAGCCTCTGTTGCACATTAACACAACTATTTACTTTTGTTAGTATCCTATTTTAATTTGAAACTTTTAAGAAAATAAATAAAAGAATAATTACAACAAATATATCTTCAAGATCATAAAACTTCAGATTACATATAAAATACTTAATAGGAAAAAAATATATAATAATTTATTTATCTATTAAACTGTGATTTGTTGATTAAGACCAATAAAAAAAAATACTCTTTTAACTTTAGAAAAACATTTTTCGTATATTTGATTGTAGTTTAATTGAGAATAAAAATATAGAAAATAAAAATGTCAAAAATGTTGAAGATAAGAGTATTGACGAAGATATATCAAAAAGGATTAAGATGCAAATATAGAAATGTAAAAATATCGACCTGGAGTACAATTCGAAAAGCTTCACTTCATTCGTGGTATGATGCTAATATCCTAACAGAGGTGATATGTATGTCAGTAGATATGATTCATCAAAAGGTCATTTTTTTTTGTTTCGCAATTAGAAATTGCGTATCTATAAGATCATCAGTATATCGTTCATTAAGACGACCTATATGATCTTGAAGTGCAATTATTTTTAATGACTTTATTGTTATGCTTGAGTCTAACCTAAATTAAAAGCGTACATGGAAACTTTATCAACGCACAAAAAATTTGGATAATTAAAATGACTCTAAAATGCGAAATAAAACAGAAGAATATAAAAATAACAAGAAAGAATTGTCTATCCTCAATATTATTATTAATTTTTATAATAAGATAGTGTATACACTATTGAAAAATAGCAGCTTTCACGAATCATTGATCTTGAAAATAGTCTAATAAACTATTTACTGATTTAAATGAGTATTTTGACAGTATTCTTACTAATTCATCACATATCTTCAAAAAGCATACAACTAAAAATGTCATTTGTGTTTGATATTCAGTCTCTTTGATATTTACGTTTTCGATCAAACTACGGCAGCTCATTTTCTATACTTTGTGTTCTTCATATTGATCCATTAAAATCAATAATATTTTATCTATTGTTGATGTTGTCTGTTTTTAATAAAGCTGTTTACAGAAAATTTTTAAGGCCAGCTTCAATTTGACTTATTCAACTGTTAATAAGTGCACTTATTCTTTTTTAATAATGATGTGCAACTCATACATTATTTTAATAAAATTATCTTTCATTAATTAAGTTAAAAACGATGAAATATTAAGTCCAACACGCTCACCTGAAAGACTGCCACTTGTTATCCAGCTGGAGTTTTGCGTGCGAATCCTAATTAATAAAATAAATATAGCATATGGAGTTGTTCCTAATTTATTATAGACATGTGGAGACGACTCTAGAGAAAACTTGATTATAAGAAGGACAAACAGACGAGCAGTTTATGTTTGAATAATGTTTATTTAGTTTTTTTTGTTATAATCTTATCATTCTCCATTTTCGAGGTGTTTGAAATCATATGTCACTATGCAGTTTTCACGCCTATTTTGAATTGCTTTACATAAGAAGAACACTTACGTATAACCAACTGATGTTATCAGCGTATTACACCAAATATCCATAACACATAACTAAAAGAACATTATCCGATTAAATGTTATGAATACATAAGATAACAATGAATCTCATTAGAGATCTGGCTGAGTCCGAAGAAATCAACAAACCCTCACATGTACTTCGAAACGGTCTATGTACATAAAGAATAGTTAAGCATAACTAGCAAACATCATCAGCATATTTTAATAGTCTTCACTGGTACATATCTGGAAGATAAGCGGTTGAATCTAGTATTGCGCACGTATAAGCATGAGATAAAATCGCCTATTTTTTCAAGATTAGAGAGGAACCTTTTACATGAAAAAAATAACCTGGTTTGAACTTTAACTTTGAAAAGAATATTGACTAATCGATCAAGAAAAATAAAATTTACAATGAATAGATCTAGGAATGTCAACTCATGTTATAATCAAATGACAGTAAAAAATTATCAATGAATCTGTCTTTGCTTTTATTTTGAGCACAAAAAAAACACCATTATAATATTAGACACATTGGATATTGCACAGATCGAATATATCCCTTAACTCAATTGACGACAATTGTCAATACGATAATGTTTAGCAACACTTACTATTTGAGCATAAAAATCATTCTATTCAAAGATGAAAAGTCAAATTATAATTACAACGTAAAACGTTTCATTTGTAATCATAAACTTATAGAAAAAGGCAAAGGAAAGATAAAGATAAGACTTGTACTCAAATAAAACGAACAAATACTATACAAAAAACTTCGAATTGAAATTCACAAATGTAATCAATTGATAAAAATAATTGTAAAGGGTTTTTGATGGTATAGTTTCCTTTGTCTCAAATATTAAGAAGAGATGATGTCTCTTTATTCGAATAAGAGATAAGCTAACTTTCATAATGAAAAAAAATCCACTGACCGTAGTGATATACATCGGTCACTCGTATGAGGACAATGAACGAAAGGAATACAAAAGTTAGCGAGGCGTGAAGAAGAATAGTATGCCCAATACTAGTGAATATGGAGGAAGTAGAGCAAGATGAACATTGAGAAAAGAGGAAATGAATACATATATATATCTTAACAAAACTTTCAAATCTTTTATTTTTTAGTATTCATTTTCTATTACATTAAATATCAATTTATATTTAATAAAAAATAGAATACGGGTATGTGCAAATTCTCTTTTATTTTTCTTCGCAGTATCTTATCATGTGATACAAGAAAGAGAAAAGAATAAAAGTCGAATTATATTTATGAGAAAGATATCAAAAGGTGGGATTACATTGATGAAAGCATAAAAAAAAAAAGAAGAAAAGAAAAACGAGAGAGAGAAAGCATAAGATTTCGAAGTTTTTGGCTCTGTTGAAACTATTATTGATCTCACGACAAATATACCTTTTGTATGTCATATTTGCTTGAAGTTTCGTTTTTTTTTTGTCAAGTATAGTTGATTCTTTTTATCAGTAACAATTGGATATACATAAAAACAATCAAATAAAAACAAAATTGAAATGACAAAAGTAAGTTATTTTAAATTAACAAGGATATACAAAGAAAAATAAAATTTTTAAGGTTACTGTTGATACAAATAATTATGAATTAACAGAACATGATTCACAACGTGTGATATCACCGACTGAATCTAATAAAACCGATCAAGTAACTAGGGAAAAGAAGATATAATTAAAAAGAAAATTATTCTATTTAGAAATCAGTTTCTTATGACAATCCTGTATTTTCGGATCAACGACCATCAATAACAAGTCTTGGAAATGGAACACTTGTAACAACAAAATTAGAAATAAAAAACGGAGAAGCAGATGATGACGATGATATTGAAGATAAGAACAATGAAGGGTTTGAAAGACTAACAGGAGATGGACATAAACTCGGTTTATTTGTATTGAGTATGCATGAATGTTTAGTTCACATAATCAAAAAGGAAAAAGTAAGAAAAACTTTTGTTTTTCTAATTATATTTTCAAAAAGGAATGGGTATGACTGGTTTTTGAATTCTTCTTTTTATAGGAACAACATAGAGATCTAAAATTTTCACTGCTTAAGGGACAAAATCCTAGGAGGAATATCTACGTATATCGAATTCTGATTGGTCAACAATCAGCCAAGCATATGAATTCTTTGTAGAGATTTTGAAAAACATATTCTAAATCTATTTTCCATCTGATTTTGACTCGAAATATAGAGAATCGATAGGAAAAATTCTTCTCTTTCGATCTACACAAGCTTCAAGTTTCTAGGATATTTCATTCTAAAGTTACAAGGATTTTCTCGAGATCCTCAATTTCAGCAAATTGACTTTGGAAAACTCTAAGAGACTTCTAGAGAAAGGTAATTTATTATGCTGAGTCCAATATTGACGTTTGTTTCCAGTTTCAAAGCGATCAGAGACTACTGTGTCAGTATTTTTGGTAATACTTCTAATCAGCCTCAAAACGCGTTTTATTATTATTATTATGATCACTCTGCCCTCCTCTGCTTTATAAAAATTCTATAGTCGCCATTGGTTTCAAGTCGCTCTGAATTACTCTTGTCTAGAGCTCGTATGAAATCTTTTCGGGTTGATTTGCTAAAATTGGAGATCTCGAAAAAATACTTACAACTTTGGAACAGAACATGCTAGAAAATTGAGACCTGTGTAGATTGAAAGAGAAGAATTTTCTTATCGATTGGTCAACATTCAATGTAAACAGGATTTTGAATATCTTTTTCTAAAATCTCCACAGACAACTTATTTAATTGATTAATCAGACTTGGACATATCTATATGGTTCAGCTTCTTCTCTCTTGAATGATGAAAAGCCCATGTCTTTATGTCGTTCTTATCAAAAGTAATTCAAAAAGTAGTAAGACCTATTGCTTTTTGAAAATGAGAATAATATTTAACTTTCTGCAATTTTTTCAATAGAAATTGTCACTTATTGTAATAAAAATATTGCTTCTTGTTGGTTTTATAATTTTTTTTGGCTTTGCTATGAGTGAAAAATATGGCACACCTGCTTTCCCTATACGTGGAAATGTATTTTATGGAAATCAAGGTATTGATTTATGAATTTTGAATTATGATTGATATAAAATTTTTCTTTAGGTTTTGCTATGTTTATTCTTGTTGCTTGTGCTGTTTTTATTGCTGCATGGGAAATAATTCTTCGAAGCTCACTAGTACGTCTAATTCAATTTATCTCAAGAGCAAATAGAAATAGGCCGGCATGGATTCGAATTAGTAAGCTATTGAAAAGGTTCACATGGTACATAATATGTTTTTTTTTATTTATATATATTGGCTTTTTTAATTTTCTTTTCTTTGATACATAGGGTTGCGCATATCTTAGTTTTTCTTGCTGTTGCTCTTTATGTTGGATTAACAGTAGCCCAACCAAGAAATTTAGTTTCACTCATTGGCATTTTTGCATTAATTATACTTGGAACACTCGGTATTGACATTTTTAAATTAGAAAAATAAAAGATACTTATAAATTTGATTTTTTATTTTAATAGGTTCAAAATATCCTCATCAAGTAGGTAGGACAAATATTTTAATTGGAACAGAATATGAAGTATATTTTTGATTTTGGTATCATGGTAAAATTAGATTCGATGGAAAACCGTATTATATTCATTTATTCTACAATTTCTATTGGCTGTTTTTGTTATTCGAGTTGACGCTGGTTTTGAACTTTTTGAATTTCTTGGACAAGAAGTAACAAAATTTATTAAGTAAAAACAATTTTTTACTTTTGTAAATGAATCCTTTCAATGGAATTATTATTATTATTATTATTTAGTAATGCAGATGCTGGAGCTAAATTTGTTTTCGGAGAAACTTTTGAACAACATTTTTATGTTTTTAAAGTAGACTTATTCAAAATGAAAAATTGTCGATTGTTTAATTTTTCATTTCTTTTTTTTTCTATTGAAGATTACTTCAATAATTATTTTTCTTGGATCCGTGATAAATGTTCTTTATTATTATGGTGTTATGCAATATGTTATAGGAAAACTCGCATGGCTTATGCAGAAATGTTTGAATACAACAGCAGCTGAAGTATGTATTCATATTTTATACATATGGGGATGATCAGTCTAGCCGGATACCCCATTAGTATTTTTTTTATTGTAAGGATAAAACATACTATTGTTCGGGTCATATGAGAGAGGATACCAGATAACCTTGGATTGGCCCGAACAATACCATGTTTTATCCTTACAATAGTAGAGAAAAGCTACCTGTTTATCGTGTGGCCTGGTAGCTTTTCTCTACTATTGTAAGGATAAAACATGGTATTGTTCGG